TCCAAAAAAAAAAACCGAAAAAGAGAGCAACAATTATGAAAGAATTACCTGTCTTTCCGTTTGCATATTCAACTCTAATCGTAGCCGTAATGGTGCATTTGGATGGTTGTAGATGGCAGGCTGCTGCAATTCACGATGTCTAGCAAGTGCTTCAGCTACTGGATAGAACTGCGTCTTGACTTTACTCCTAAACAAAAAACTCTCCCATTAAACCCATTCCAATAAACGTCAAGTGGACTTCTTAGTTACCTAATGAAAATGTTGGTTAGAGGCTTATCTGGTAGTGCGGCTTCATCGTCTCTATTAAAACGACCCGGAAATTGCTGGGAAGGCGACAATCTGCAAGGACATTGATGGAACTCTAAGAAAAGGCTTTAGAACTATTTTGAAGCATATGTTACGTAGAAAAGCACTAAACTCAACCTCTTTGAAGCATATGTCATGTAGAGAAACACTAAACTTAAGTCTTTGTATCGAAAATTAAGATCAAAAGGACTATTGATGTCATAAAATGCTGCTTTTACTGGCAAGAAGACTTACAAATTCTTCATTCTACGAATATTGATTCGTTCCATAAAAGTATACTGCTTCCTTGCCGCTTCTCTCTCCTCCCTCTTCAAACGCCGCTCGAGTTTTTGCTGACGTGTGATCGTTTGCTTCAAGGCTCGTTTTCTACCTAAGGATCACTCTTTCTCTTATTCGCTCTGATAGCATATATAGCAAATGGTATTCTATACCTCTTTGTTGAGCAAATTCACCAACGACTGGTCGCAATAGGTCGTTCGAGATAATGCAGCTACATGACGAAGCTGCTGAACTCCGTAATAAGGAGAACATCTGAAAACTCTTTTTTTTCACAAAATAAACACATCCAATACTAAACAAAAAACGGTACAAAATGCGAGTGTTGAGTACATCTTACATATATAAAGCATTTAACATTTTTCTACCTTATGTTCATTACTTCAAATACGCTTAGTTCCGCTGCGATAATATGTGCGATGAAAGTCTCTAGTTTCCTGCCATGTACCCTCTCGTGGCGTTGTGTTGCAAATTACTAATACGACAAGCCTCTCATGTTTGCATTCTTTCTAACTGATTTTCTAAAAAACCATCAGCAGAACTGTCCCCATACATTGCAAGTTTAAAAGCAAAGCAAGGACGAAGATTTCTTAATCATATGAAAATCAAACTGTGAAGTAATCTAGAGGTCCCCGCAAATCTCAGGCAATGCTTAGTGTGCAGCCGGCTAGCCAAAGAAGCTAGTAAAAGAAAGACTTTTAAGTGGTCATCTATAAGGGAAAAAGTCTCATTAAAAGCGATTTTACGATAAAGTCTGTACCACCAAGACCTTTATTCAAAGTCAACCCTTGATTTTAAGTAAATCTTATGATTCGTGGCAACTTTGGTAGCTCGCGAATGTTATTTAGGACACAGAACGATTTCCATTTTTGCTTCAGAGCGTTCCAACGATAAGAAAAGGATTTATCGTTTTTGCCTAGTATACGCCTTTAGCGAATTATATCCACCTTGTGTGAAGCAGTGACATTCTAAGATAGTATAGCGCTAACAAATTCAGCTACTACCCATTGACGATCGCGCATTATTTGCGTGTTTGGCTCGTGGAACAAACGTGCTTTTTCAGACTTTCAGTGACTGTTGCTTGCCGTAATTTTGTTTGAACGTGAATCACATGTTCATCAAACACATTAGATATCTGCAAAAATTCAAAACAAAGCGAGTGTAATCGGAAAAGTGTCACACAGTTCCAAACTGCGTGACCCACCCGTAGG